AACATTTAACAAGGACAGAAGCTCACAAGATAAGACAAAGCAGGAGAAGGGCCATTACTAAAACGGGAGGAGAACAAAGAGAAAGGGCTCATTAACTTAAGCGAACCATGAGATGTGCGAAAAGATTACAGCTGTTGGCCAGCCGAGCACCACACGCAATGGTGGAAGCAACCGCCGCGTGGATGGAAACAGGCCCCGTGCACATTGCTACAGCCCTCAGTACTATCCTGGGCCCTGAAAAGCAAGCCTTCTGGTGACACTGAAGAGTGTCAGACAACAGAACTCATTTCTGAAACCACCTCATAATCACCTGGGCAAAAGAACACGATGCTGAGTTGGTATATCACATCCCCTACCACACACAGCATCTGGAAAAATCAGACGATACACCAGCCTATTAAAGACTACTTTAAAAGCAAGCCACGGGTGCATTCCATTCAAACACCGGGACACGTATTTAGAAAAAGCCACCTGGTTAGTCCACTCCGGGATCTGTCAGCCGGGCTGGTCCTGTCCAATGAAACATGCTGCGTACCATAGAAAAAGGGTAAAGACCCAGAGGTGCAAGTAAAAAACACATTGAGCAACACAGACTGGATTATTCCTGCCTTAAGCAAAGGCAAGCCTACTCGTGGGATCGCTTTTCCTAAAGGACGTGCAGGCACCTGCCGGGTAAAGCAGAATGGTTGGTGTCTGTTGTGTACCTCAAAGGGAGTTGACGCTGTGGAAGAATTAACAGTTGCTACACAATACAGCATGCCATCATCGCTACAATTGTTACAGGCCTCAATACACTATGACAATAAGAACCACCCCAACTAAAGAGGAATGAATTCTGCTGAAGTCAGAACTAGTTTAGCAAACAGTAATCCGACAGTGGAGTCTCTCGCTTGTACCGAAGGACAGCTATGAAAGACAGAGCCCAAAAGCATGAACTCAGTGAACATCACGGACAGACCATTTACACGGACGGACCACAGGATGTGGAAATTAGAAGTGTGTAAACATCAAGAAAGACAGGAAATAGTAAATAGTTAGGATATATAAGATTAATACAAGACCAGAGCATAAAATTAATGGCACGGGACAAGGGGTAGATACTGCCTTAATTTCAGCAGGGTCAGAATACCGTTTCCTCAAAGTGGATGGTACATAGCCGTACTGGAGAAATACAACACTGATAACACTCCAATGTTTTCAGTTGTTACGGAGCAGTTCTGGACAGAGCGAACAACGTTCGTTTTCTTGGTTTCTCCGAGCACACATGAAAAGGGTCTGGAGCAGCACAGGGAGCTGGGACAGAAACAGGAGAGCTGACCTAAACCAGGCCAAGGCAA